TTAATATAGTAAAAAAAGAAATATTGGGGAGGGGGTCGTACATTTGTGCCTTATGAGCCACTAAGTTTATAATACATAAATATATCTATACAATTGAGAATAATTAATAATAATTATTAAGTTACACTAATTTTGTGATTTAGAAAAGAATATTTGTTTGAACTTTCGTTATCTTACACAAAACGTTTTTATAAAATTGTGACGTTTTGAATGAACCCCTTTACCATTATTATAGTACATATTTATTCAAAAGTCTAAACAACCATTATGATAACAATTTAGGAACAATACATCGTTTTGTATTCAAACACTTCAATTTAAATAAGAATGTATTTGAAAATAAAAATCAAGGATTTAGAAAGCAATAATATGAACATGTATAATATGAAGAGACAGACCTAGTCATTCAAACCGCATAACAATATATAGGTTAGGTTAAATGTTTACTGCTTATCGGCCGTTAGATAAATATTATAGGTCAAAGGCGTTTCAAATGTTTTAACTATAATATTGAAATTATCAAATCTGAAACCAATATGTTATAATATTATACATATAAAGTACCTATATATTATACATCCAAAAGACCGAAGACTAGATCAAAAAATTGTGTGCCTATTGGCATAATGCTATATAATATTATAGCAAACATAATGTACATAATGGTGTGTATAAATGTATAATTTATGTTATTATTTGGGTATAATGCATACTATCGTTTTTCACCGTATATTTATGAATGCTTATGATAACACAATATTAAAATATGCATTCAACTGTTATTACTTTTTATACATTATATTTATCGATTTATCATTTATACATTTATTCATATTCATCATAATATATTATATTTAGTATATTAGTATGTTGGACGAGTCTCGGAGTCCAAGTTTAACATGATAATTTATTATATAATAAAGCGTGTACCTACACAATAATAATATATCGATAACTGATTTACAAGAAATGTATAAACGATGGTTTCAAAGAGATATTATAATACATACTCATACATACGCACAGTGTAATAAACATTTATTATTAAAAGGATGCCACACTGACATGTGTTGTCCCCGTCTTACWAACGCGTACAACATGTAGAACAATTTTTTTTKTGCGGGAAAGAATAGAGAAGGTTACGGTCATGACTAAGAAACGAAATTTTYACACTATAAAAAAAAACATAACATTTACTGTGCAACRGGGTTTTTATTTTCGATATCACAAATGCGAAAATAGTTCTTATTATTGTTTAAAAATTTATTATTCCAAATTTGAACTTTTTTTWTTATTTATTTATGATGTCGAAAAAAACAACATTGCACAGTAAAAATTCTCAACTTAATAATGTGAAAATTTCGTTTCTAAGATACGAGTGTAGCCTTTTTGGTTTTTTTCTGCGCAAAACAATTTTTTCATTGATGTATGTTTGTAAGACGGAGACAAACACGTCATGTTGGTGTGGTGTTCTCTTATGATATTTTATTAATATTTATTGTAAGACTATACGATTCGTYGAAACACATTATTAAAATTATTATTATTATATTACTGTGCATGCGCATTTCGTTCATCAATTTCGTTGTATTAAATAAAATATTACGATAGAAATATAATATAATATAACGAATTACTGAGCATCATGAACGTCAATTATTTGTTTTCTTTTTCTATTAACTAAATTTTAAATAATTAATTAAAAATACTTCAGTTAAGATAAAAAAATTGCAACCATTTCAAAGCGACTATAGCTGGTTGAAATACTGCAGAACACCTACCGACAATATACGAGTAAAATAAATGTCTAACAGAGAATTATGTAATATGGATTTAAAAACTATTTCGTTATCTTMAAATAATTCTACTATAAAATATAATTTTTAGTAAAAACTGCGATTTTCTGCTTTGCATAATACCCGCTAATATAACGCGTGAGTTTGCGTAAAGATACCTATAATAATAATAATAAATTCATATAATACGAATAATGATAAAAAAGCTTGAGAACATAAAACACAGGTACGAATAAAAGTGTATAATATAACAAAAATATAATACATCGTTTATAATTCAAAAAACCGATCGTTTTATAACTCATAGCAAGTTTTCGCGAACAATAAAATTCGTTTAATTTTATCGGCTGGTTCGATAAAATTTCGAATTTTACGAGTGCATGATTATGGTCGTATGTAGACGTAATTCATTAAATCGGAGTTGAATTATTAGCACATTCTAGCGCTGCTGGCCGATCGTATTTTTTAATTCAAGTTCTCGGTTTTAAATTAATATGCACGCGCTCGTCGTAAAGCTAAAAAATAATAATCTGATGTAATTTCGATTATTTTAACGCGTCGCGAAAACATACAAAATAATATAATAACAATAATAATACATGCGATGTCGATTMATAATTTGTCGTCTGTCTTTTAAGGGACATTTTGTTCACCGGTCAGCTTCGGTTGTCGCACGAACAAGTGCAAAAAAAAATGATAATCGCTTAATAAACCGTAAAGTCTAGCGATTATCACCGCGTGGCGTATGCATAATATTATAATTTACCGCATAGGTAATACAATAATATATGTACCTACGCGTGTGACGGAAAATGTTTTTTCTCGAATTACAATTTTTTATCGTATTAATTATGTATAATAATATAAGTTATAACCTTATCCAATAGTATTAATATCGACAATATCGTAACGGATGAATTGGAAAGCATATTTAAAACCTCATGCGAGAAGTCGGTTTCACAACTCCCGGGCCCAGGAATATCACATGTATTTATAAATTAAAACCTAACCTACCATATTTACCATATTATATTAATATAATACAATTTAAATATAGCACATAGCTATGTAATATAATAAAAAGAAGAAAACATGAATTTCAAGACGAATGCGATTATTATAATTATTGTGTTTTTAGTGAAATATATTGAAAGCCTATTAAAAAATGACGTCTGCTCAACACGATGATAATTCAATATATCATTATAGACAGACAATCTTCCATAATATTATGGGGATTTGGTTCAAGGACAATTTCTACGAAATTTTGCAACGAATCGTTCAAAAATACGAAGTTTTAAACAATTGTAATAATAATATATTATATCACGTACCTCTTGATACGGGTCGTTTCTCGGACGTTTGAGAACCAAATTTTCCACTGACGCGACATTTTGMAACAGCATTTTAACTACACGACACATCTGGAGCCATCTAAAAACTATAGGTACAATTATCTTAATTATATGTTATAAACAACTATTGTTTCAATCGAGATCTATAAGGTTAATAATAATAATTACAATACAATTTTGGTCAGCAACACAATATAAAATTATCATCTCAAAAAGAATAAGCTTGTGGAGAGGACATTAGGTCTTCTATAAAAGTATTTTTTATATATTTATCTGTATAATATTAACGCATTAAAAATTATATAATGAAATCTTATAATTAAATATAGTTTTATATTATACGATATCTATAGTAGAGTTAAACATGAGATTTTTGGCCTTAACGATTTTGTATTCATTCCCGTAATTTTCCCATACGTCATATACAGGATGATTCGACAAACACACTCACCTTTATTTTTCTTTAAATGACATATTCAAATCCTGGTTTTTGGAATATTTAAGTATATAGGGCGTCAAAGGCCCATGCTAACATACTCGATCGTAATATTAGATTTTTTGCTTGAGAATTATCTGCGATTCTGTAACATATTTTTCCCCTTTCTGATCACTTTTTTTGCATGACAATCTTGTTAAGAATATGACTTTTTGGAAAATGTTGATTGYCCTRGWTAAAAATTTAGACCTTTAGTTTTTTAAAATTATTTAGCATTGTGCACTATAAGGATAATAGGATTGGATGATTAGAATTTAGAAAACGATAGTAATCACTAATTAATATTATTTTATTAAAGTTTTAAAATTCTTGAAACTGCGCGAATATAATTTGTACTAGATTAATATTAATTTTTATTTACTGTATGATGTATTAATTAATATTTTTGTATAGTCATTTTTCAGGACTGATATTAATTATTATTATACTTAATAAGCACATCAAAATAACTCAGAAATTATTCATTTGAATTTTTATGARGTTACAACGATATTTTCGAAATAATTAAATATGTTTAACAATTTTCAGTAAACATTTTTTTGATTGTGAGGTTATCATTCGTGGTTGGTGATCAGTGAATCACCCTGTGATATAGAGACATTCGTTATCGTGACATGTTAACGTTACGGGATATTATATATTAAACAGCTGCAGTACACTGTCGATTAGTGCTGCGTGGTTTTATCTACATCCTCATTCGGTACAATGTAGTAAAACATAACATAATATAATAATATAATCATAATAATAATATTATTACTAAAATAATATGTTATTTATTATTCCATACGATAGTTGGTTTCTTGTATTTATATTATAATGATTATTAATAACACAACTATGATTTTGAACTCAAAATACGACATTAAATATATTGTATTATACACACACACACAAAATGTCTCGAAGAGTATAAATTCTCGTTTATTATTACGTATATGTATATTATATCATCTTTAGCTTTAAGACTCGTATAACTAAGTCCTTAACCCGGGGGAGGATTCCGGGGACTAGGACCACTCAGAATTAATTCAAAAGTTGAAAAATTTTGGCAGTGATATGATATTTGATTATTGATGATGACTATTTTTATAAAGAATTATAATTTTATATTTTCATGAATTCGATTATAACGACGGTAAAGGATTTTATATCTTGAACTTTAAAATAATAGTGTTTCACTAATACACTATTCAATTCATAAAAAAAAAGGTTTGAATCCCTCCCTCGAAATTTTTGTTTTTATATAGATACACGGCCTTGCGTATAACCTTACGTATTAATAAGCACATTGTACCACCCACAAAATTTAAGTCATTTTGAAAAGTATTTTTTTTTTTTTTTGTATTACAGAACTGCTCGCGAAACATTACACGACGATAAATGCCCATGTGCGCAAGCAGTTAGCCCAACAGTTGAACGTGTACTGTAACAAAACAGTGTTGGACGAAGGACCGGAAGAACCGCACCAGTATCAATGGACGTACTACAACGCATTTTTTTTCGCGCTGACCACGCTGAGTACGATCGGTAAGKATTAGGAGGATGATGATGATAAACGCCTATATACGTTTAAAGATATTCAAACTTTCAGTGAAAATTCCTACTGAAAATTTGATACGATACTTTTTACCTGCTTTATTATAGAACATTATAATAACGCGACATTGTGATGAATTAAAAATACGTTAAAAACATCTGTTCGTTAAATATTTTGGCTCGACGTGGAATTCTTATTGAATTAATGTTCACTAAAATATTTTATTTTGACAKTTTGACATTCCAGGTGATTCTTTAATATCCTAGAAGTTTGAAAAAATAAATATTCTTTTACATAGGTACATTTAAGTAATATGAAAGAGCGTTTTATGAAAAAAAATAAAAACAAATTTTATATTATCAATGTTACCAWTGTTATCTGGGATCGGTGGTGGACAATTATTATTAAAGAKTTTGAATTARGCGATTTTAAAATTGCGTGCACGTGGGTCTTGAAATATGTGGGCGGTTTGCGTTTGGGCGAATTGCCTTTTTATCCGTATAATAAAAGTAATGTGTTTGGGCGAGACAATGTATTTTTTTTATTCCTGAATTTTTTGATCAGAATTATCATTTTTCGTATTTTGTTTATCATTTATCTTTAGATTAGACATAATTAGTGAGCGAAGGTTCAACGTAGTATTGATGAAGATTCAATATTATTAAACAAGTGATTAACGTGCAGTGCGGACGGTGCGACACAATATAAAAGATAAAATTGTAATGATTATAAGATAAAACAAAAAGCAAATATATTTTTTTCAATTTTAATTATATTTTAACTTCATTWAAAAAAAATCTAAATCATTTCAATTTTTAATTACACGCGCACACACATAAATAAACAATCCATTTTTAATCATACCCGTGGAATTCACTGACAGTCCCAAGTCTGTCAAAATAAGGGGGAAAATGGATTGATAAAATACAGCATCCCAGGGTATTCAAAATAAATAATAAAAAATGGTCGCCCAAACGCATTACAATGTTTTAAAATCACTCGCCCAAACGCATTATGCTGAATTGCCCAAACACAWTGCAATTTTTAAAAATTCACCCAAACGCGTGACGCCCGAAATATGTATGTTGTAGTAAGAGATAAGTGTTTTTTAGTGTATGTGACTGTGTGCGTGCAAATTAAATAGTGGAGCCCACTCGCACGTCTATGTATAAGTCACCTCCTAGGCGTTGCACGTGTGAACAGTGAACAAATAATTATGCTAATTTATATGTACGTTTTAAAGATGGACCTAATAATATGATAATATTTTAGAAAACTGATCTGAATTTATTATGATGTCTACTTGAAATCGGTCAGTTCATATTTTAAGATTTTTGATTTAGGTTCCGTATAATCGACGTTTGAAAATCCCAAAATTTCAAATTACCCAAACTTAATTTATAGTTACTGGGAGGGGTGAAATTGGGAAAAGTAGACTGAGTGACATAATAACGAATCGAAATCAGTATTAAAAAGTATTATCGCATTATTATGCATAGGTGGACGAAAGATAGGTTAGGTATGTTTTGGTAAAATAACTATCCGTCACTGATCCCTTTAAAAACAAAATTCACTTTTAATTGCATAATCGGAATCAATATATTATTTGGTATATTTCGTTTTATACTCATATGAAAATACAATTTCTACAAGTTGGCAGTTGAAGTGTATGAAGTTAATATTTGTAGGTGACATAGTGTTACTCTACAATATGTTAGTCAACTGCCTGGCTATTTTTTTGAAATTTAAATATTTGTAACTCATAAACCACTTGTATAAAATTAATTATTACAGTGAAAGTAGTCTGTATTATGTATATATAATACGTTATTGTAATCATGATTACTTAATATTATATAATTTTATGATTCGAAATTTTCCGACGATTGGACAAACGCGTCCGTACACGGGGGAGGGTCCTCGAAAAATGAAACCATCAGTGAGCCTCGTGGTGATGTGTACGTAATACATATCATGTATTTTATTATTATGCACGACGTTCAAAAATTGTAAAAAAAATGACATTACAATGTAGGTATGYACATATTATAAACATAATAATACCTAMATAATATGTATTAAAATAAGTTTTTAGCGCCCCGTCGAATATTACAACAATTATAATTAATAACGGGATATTGTCTCTGTGTACTCAGAGTCACGTGTACAATATGTATATAACTTATAAGTAGGTACACATAATAATATGTATTATATATATTACATAAAATATGCACGTGCAAAACGCTGCCACATTACTTCGCGATTTTCGTTTTTTTTTTACCATCGTCATTTAACGCGACACGTACRMACGTWATTATATTGTACACTTACACGGCTGCATCCTAATCACCGTACAATAGGTACACTAAAACAATTTATCTTAATTTATGTTATTATTATATGAATTAGCGTAATATACATATAATATAAACTACGTATCTATACTCAATGAGTTCAGTTASAGGTACGTGTAATTCGTCGTTTGATTATAACACGCTGTAATATAGCTAAAATATTATTATGTGGTAGGTAACATTGGCGTAGATCTAAATTATAAATGATCGAAATATGGATGGAATATACCCATTCCTTATAATACCTATATGTACCTATAAACGGTATACCCAACTTAGTCTAAAATTTGTTAAATTGCGTATGACATGGTTAAGTACCTGCACAGTGTTTTAATATATTATGGTATTCGGGGCATGGCTAGTCAAAAATGTTATATAAATTAATTTCAATATAATTTTTGTGTTTTGTTATTTCCTTATAGTAATATTCGAATAAGGTATTAAAAATATGTTATTTATTTATTACTATAGGATACCTCAAGTTTAATTGCATGTTCCCATTCATAAATTAAATGCCATTTTCGATCACACTTGAATACAATGTATCCACATGTTGTGACCATGTATATAGGTATTATTATCTATGAACTAATTTTTACTGTAATTTTTATAACATTACAGAAGAATTTTATGGACCATTTTTTTTTTTTTTTTTTTTTTTGGAAGTGCAATAATATTTAATTTATCTATCGTCGTAAATTATGAAATTAAGTGTTATCACAGGCCTATAAAAAAGCGAACCAATTACAGARAGAAAGGTCCAGTTGCCGACAATTTTAGAAAAAGATAGCATACACCATCATAATTCTATTATATACAAGTATATACTGCCCTCTTTGTAACAATGTTGGCACTAGGAAATCTATTAGTATTAGAGTAGGGAAGACGCGCAGTCATTAAATTAATAATTACATCAAGTAAATGTGTATTACAGGTTATGGAAATTTGCACCCGACTTCCGGTACCGGACGCATACTGGTGTTGGTGTACTCGTTGATCGGCATCCCTCTCAACGGTATTGTGTTGACGCAACTGGGAAGCTTTTTCGAATCCAGAGTGAGTATATTATTAAATAATATAAGTGGAAACTTATCAAAGTTCTAAATGTTTTGTCTTAAGAATTTAATGCCCATCATCACACAGCGACTCTCTTGTTATTCGTGTCCTCAGAATAATATTATTATCTTTGGCTGATAAAAGAGTTGATGCTAAACTCTTGTGTTTTTATCTAAAACCATAAATTCGATATAAGTCATATAGATGCTCCAGTATTAGTATATAACATMAATTTCTTCGTCTTTCCTCGGAACATTCACCACTCCCATTAATTTTCTATTCGGATTATTCCAATATTTTATCTAAAAAACAATGGTTCGAAAAGGATGGTGAAGATGACCAACGAGGTTGACCCATCATTCCTCATTTGATATAGTGTTATTATTACTATCATAAGATATTTAATATTACGATTATTTTAGAATAATTTGGAAATGTAATTTTCTCAATATTAGTTTATCTGTTTGATTTTAACATATTTTGAATTTGTCTTGAAATAAATATTACGATTTAACGTGCTTTTATTATTTTTTTTTTTGTGAGGAATCGATTTTTTAATAGATCATGTCGAAATTTTTTATTGCCGTGTATATATCGTGTAATTCCGATAGAGGGTGTTCTACTAGAAAAAACAAATTATATCATACACTTTTGGAAAAACCTATCGTGAATAAACGCCAGTATGGATAATCCAATCTCGGTTTTTGCAATAAAAAATGTCGACATGATCTATTAAAAAATCGATTCCTCGCAAAAAAAAAAAAAATAAAAATTTGTATTTCCGTTCCGCCCAGTTTTATACGGGATTTACGATAATACGCGTCATAGATGACCCAGACCCACCCTCAGTAATGCAAAAAAGTGAGAAAACGCAGTTAACTATACAGTCGCTATACGAATAATAATATACTGTTTAATAAATCGTTGAAATTGCGGTTGTGTGCTCACAAAAACACAATGCAACATATTATTGTGTTATGTGGCCGATCCGCGGCGGCTGGACCGGATATCAATTTCCGGTGCCGAAATCGAGTTCGAGAAACTGGTCGATTAGCGCGGGGTCGCCATCATGTTGATGCTTACTATATACCTAATTGGTTTACTATTTTTGGTATTTATGGTATTTAATACCAATTGCACGGTCGACGCGTTCAATTACACGGTAGTCGGCAACGCACCCACTGCATAATAATCATTTTTTTTTCTACGTACGTGTCCATTACGAGTGCAACGTATTATGTACAATATTACGTTTGAATAATATGGTAAATAACCTAAGCTAAATTGTAATGCAATCATATTATAACATGTTTAATTATTATTCGGCATTGATAAACCAACGAACGTATATTATAATATAGAAGTGCTCATATATATGCAGATATGCGTGGTAACGAGACTACAATAACGATACTTGTAATTATTATGGTAATGAATTTATTTTATTAATTACCTGTATTGATGCACCTGTATTATGCAAAAATTATTAAAACAATATCAAGACACCCGACGGACGAATATTTCCGAATATTCTTCGCGTTTATTGTCTTAAACGTATTGGTATCATATTGTTTTATGACCGTTGACTGCGATTGCTGCAGATATCGTATATTATTTTATCTATTTATTCATATTTATTCTCGAGATAACATTTTGCACGCTCATTTCGTATAAGAGCGATGAGTAATGAGTCATATATAATACCTACTATATATGGAACAGTATTATACTGTTATACAGTTTTAAACTCGTATTTCATAAAACAAACAAAATAAAAAACTATTTATTCGCAATCGAACACACGTTATGTGCATTTTACTATATTATATTATTATATCGTATCATAATGTGTTTCTACCCATAAGATCATATAAATATTATATTTTACTGTCCAGATACTTTGCTTTATAGAATACATATTCGTAGAAATATTGTTGGGTAGGTATATTTTTATTACACCGTAATAATATGTTTTTCATTATCGTTGTGTTTAATGTTTGAGTACAACGATCGATCACAGAGTGAGTGAAATTAAAACGATAAGACTTCCGGTTGTTCATAAGGTATAAAAAATGAAGTCTGGCGTTTATATAAAAATGGCTGACTATAATATTAAGGTGGAGAGCGAATATTGTGCAGTATGGTCGAACGAACAAACGTCTAACGGGTTTTTTGATAATTATTTAAACGGAATATTTTCATTACATATTATGTATGCAAGAATCGTATTCAAATTATGTATTTTTTTTTTTAAATTTAAAAATGCGTCGACTTTGTTCAAATCTGTCGTCGGTACGTTTATTTCAAGCCAAAAGTTAAATATATTCGACACAAGCACAAAAACGGTTGAAAAATAATATTTTTAATGTATTAATAACGGATATCCGATATCATTACCATCAAGAATCCGAGCTTCTCGAACTTTCAAAGATCCCATCATTACAGACAAAAAATGACCAAAACAACAATATTTTTTTT